GGCAACCATGGCAGACTAAGGAAGTCAGGGATGGCATAAAAGCAAAAGAAAAAGCATATAATGTGACAAAGGGCAGTGGGAAACCAGAGGATTGGGAAGCTTACAAAGGACCAACAGAGGGCAACGAGAAAAGAAATAAGGAGGGAGAAGATTAAATATGAGGGTAAGCTAGCCAATAATATAAATGAAGATTGTAAGAGTTTCTCTAGATATATAAAGGGCAAAACAGAGGCAAAAGTGGACATTTGACCGCTAGAAAATGACACTGGAGAGCGAATAGCAGGGAACAAGGAAATGGCTGAGGAACTGAATAATTACTTTGCTTTAGTCTTCACAGTGGAAGTCACGAGTAATCTCCCAAAAATTCAAGCGTCAGGGGGCAGAGCTGAGTATGGTGGCCATCACCAAGGAGAAGGTGCTACTAAAACTGAATGGCCTGAAGGTAGATACATCACCAGGACCAGATGGACTATACCCCAGAGTTTTTAAGGAGATAGCTGAAGAGATAGTGGAGGCGTTAGTGGCAATCTTTTAGGAATCGCTGGGTCAGGGAGGGTCCCAAAGGACTGGAAAATCACTAATGTGACACCCCTGTTTAAAAGAGTAAGACAGAAGTCTTGAAAATTACAGGCCAATTAGCCTAACCTTGGGTTGTGGTAAGAATTTAGAGTCCATTGTGAAGGATGAGATTTCTGAATACTTGGAAGTGTATGGTAAAATAGGGCTCAGCCAGCATGGCTTCATCAAGGGGAGGTCATGCCTGACAAATCTGTTAGAATTCTTTGAGTAAGTAACGAGCAGGTAGACCAAGGAGAACCAATGGATGTTATCTACCTGGACTTCAAGAAAGGACTTTGACAAGGTGCCACACAGGAGGCTGCTGAGTCAGTTAAGGGCCCATGGTGTTAGAGGCAAGATGCTAGCATGAATTGAAGATTGGCTGTCTGGCAGAAAGCAGAGAGTGGGGATAAAAGGGTCTTTCTCAGGATGGAAGCCGGTGACTAGTGGTGTTCCACAAGGGTCAGCGCTGGGGCCACAACTTTTCACTTTATACATTAATGATCGAGATGAAGGAACTTGAGGGCATTCTGGCTAAGCCTGCAGATGATACAAAGATAGGTGGAGGGACAGTTAGTATTGAGGATGCAGGGAGGCTGCAGAAGGACTTGGACAGGTTGGGAGAGTGAGCAAAGAAGTGGCAGATGGAATACAATGTGGGAACGTGTGAGGTCATGCACTTTGGTGAGAAGAATAGAAGCATAGACTATTTTCTAAGTGGGGAGAAAATTCAGAAGTCTAAAGTGCAAAGAGACTTGAGAGTTCTAATCCAGGATTCTCTCCAGGTAAAATTGCAGGTTGAGTCAGTAGTTAGGAAGGCAAATGCAACTTTGGCATTTATTTGGAGAGGACTTGAATATGAAAGCAAGGATGTACTTCTGAGGTTCTATAAGGCCATGGTCAGGCCATGTTTGGAGTATTGTGTGCATATTTGGGCCCCATATCTCAGGAAAGTTGTACTGGCCCTGGAGCGGGTTCAGAGGAGGTTCATGAGAATGGTCTCGGGTATGAAAAGCTTAACATATGAGGAATGTATGAGGACTCTGGGTCTACACTTGATGGAGTTTACAAGGATGAGGGGGGATCTAATTGAAACTTACAGAATACTGAATGGCCTGGACAGAGTGGATGTTGGGAAGATGCTTCCATTGGTAGGAGAGACTAGGATCCGAGGGCACAGCCTTAAAGTAAAGAGAAGACCTTTTAGAACAGAGATAAGGAGAAACCTTTTTAGCCAGAGAGTGGTGAATCTATGGAATTCACTGCCATAGAAGGCTGTAGAAGCCAGGTCATTGAGTACATTTAAGACGGAGATAGATAGTTTCTTGATTGTCAAGGGGATCAAGGGTTATGGGGAGAAAACGGGAGAATGGGGCTGAGAAACTTATCATCCATGATTGAATGGCAGAGCAGACTCGATAGGCTGAATGGCCTAACTTCTGCTCCTAGGTCTTACGGTCTTATTTTATTGACCAGAGCCTCAATATCTCTAGTCATTGTGTTCCCTACTCCTCAGCCTTGTCCTTCACACCAACAGAGACATGCTGGCCCTGAACTCTTATCTCACTTTTGAAAGCCTCCCACTTGTTAGACGTTCCGGTACCTGCAAACAGCCTCTCCTAGTCAACTTCTGAAAGTTCCTGTCTAATACCATCAAAATTGGCCTTGCCCCAATTTACAGCTTTAATTTGTGGACCAGGACTATCCTTTAGTGCTTCCCCTATTAACACCTCAGTCACTTGTCCTGCCTTATTTCCCAAGAGGTGTCGAATTTTCCCCCTCTCTAGTAGGGCTATCTATATATTGATTGAAAAGGTTTTCTCGAAAGCGCTTAACAGATTCCTTCCCGTCCAAGTTCTTAACACTACTGCTGTCCCAGTCAATGTTTGCAAAGTTCACATCCTCTGCTATTAAACCCTAATATTCTTGCAGTTGTGATCTCCCTACGGGCCTATAGTATAATCCCATCAAAATGATCACCCTTTTTTGTATCAGGTCTGCCCATCTCGTGTGAAACTTTATCTAAAGCAGCACAATGAGAAAGGAAGTACTGGAGGGACTGACTTCCTTGAAGGTGGCTAAATCATCAGAGCTGAACGAATTGTATCCAAGGCTGTTAATGGAACCCAGAGAAGAAATAGCAGAGGCTCTGAGGATCATTTTTTCCATCCTTACTAGATACAGTTGAGATATCAGAGGATTGAAGGTCTTCATACCATTATTCAAAAAGGGTGCAAGGGATAGGCCAAATATTTATAGAGCAGTCAGTCTGACTACAGGGATGGGAAACATATAGAGTCAATACTGAAGGATAAGATTAGCTGTTACTTGGAAAGGCACACATTAATCAAGGATAGTCAATATGCTTTTGTTAAGGGAAGGTCATGTTTATTAACTTAATTGTTTTTTTTTGAGGTAGTAACAAGGATTGATTGATGAGAGTAGTGCAGTGGAGCTTGTCTATATTGATTGTAGTAAGACATTTGATGAGGTCCCATGTAGTAAACTGGTCAGAAAAATTAAAACCCATGTGATACAGGGAGATGTGACAAGTTGGATCCAAAATTGGCTCAATGATAGGAAACAAAGGGTTGTGCTCAACAGATGTCTTTGTGAATGGAAAGCAGTTTCCATTGGTGTTTCTTAGAACTCAGCATTGAGTTTTTTGCTGTTTGTTTTATATATTAATATTTTTCACTTAAATGTTGGAGGCATGATTGGGAAATTTGCAGAAGATACAAAAATTGGCATCTAACTTATAGTAAGTAGATGGCTGTCAATGGCAGGATGATATCAGTGACAAAAACAGAAATTGCTGGAAAAGCTCAGCAGGTCTAGCAGCATCTGTGAAGAGAAATCAGAGTTAACATTTTGGGTCCAGTGACCCTTCTTCAGAACTGAATTCAGTGGTTTGGTCAGGTTGGTGAAAAAGTAGCAAGTAGAATTCAATCCAGAGAAATAGAGATTATGCATTTAAGCAGGGCAAACAAACCAAGGGAATATGCAGAGGAAGTGAGAGACCTTGGTGTGGATGTACAAAGATCCTTGAAGGTGGCAGGATGGTTAAAGAAGGTGGCAAAGAATAAGGATGCTTTCCTTACTTGTAAACAAGAACAGGGACGTAATGTGGGAACCGTACCAGACGCTGGTTAGGCCACAGCTGGATTTTTGTGTACAGTTCTGGCCACCACCTTACAGGAAGGATATAATAAAGGGAGTCCACAGGTGATTTTCAAGAATGTTTTGCTTTTATTTCCAGGAATATTGCCAGGTCTTGAAAATTGCAGCTATGAGGAAAATCCTGGACAGGCTAGTATTGTTATCCTTAGAAGGCTGAAGAGTGACTGAATCGAGGTGGACAAAACAATGAGGGGCTTGAATATTGTAGACAGAGAAGACCAGTTTGCTCTTGTGAAGAGGTCACTTACCGGAAGGGCACAGATTTAAGGTGTCTGGTAGAAAGATTAAAGAGGACTGGTGTTCTTAACTTGCTGCCTAGTTTGATGGTTGATATGAAAACTCTTATCTCACAGGAGCTATATCTGCATCTAAATCACTGGAAAATGGAAGGTTAGGACTAGGGGCTGGTAAGTGAGATTAGAATGAAGGGCTAGTTTTTTTTCAGCGGGCACAGACATGATGGCTGAATGGCATCTTTGCTATTGTGTTGTAAATATTCTATGGTTCTACAAACAGAAAATAGTGGAAATACCCAGCAGATCAGGCTTTTGATCCTGACCAGCCATAAGCTAGTGCTGGAAAGTGGGTCTAGAGTCTTTGGCAGTACAGACTCAATGGGCCAAAGGGCCAGTTCTCATTGTATGATTCAACGATTTCTATTCCCCTACCACCTCCATAACTCTTCATATAATTGTCAAATTCCCTCTTGAAATCCAAGATTAACCCTGCCTTCATTAGACTGTCAGGCGGTGCATTTCAAATCTTAACCATTTGCTGGATAAAATAAAACTTTTCCTTATGTTACCCATATTTCTTTAACCAGTCACTTTACATTGTTGTCCTCTGTTTCTGAGGAAAAGTTCCTCCTTTCCTACTCTAAATCTCTGGAACTGTACAAAAATCCTCAATATTGAACTCTGCTTTCTTCCGTATTAATAACCCCCATCCAAAGGTATTGGAACATTTTCCAATTCATTTTTGAATAATACATCACAGAATACTTTTTTCATCCTATTTATCTGAAATGTACAACTCATTTGCTGAAAATGTTGTAAAATAGCTCCAATGGCTTTAATTGTAGATGAGCTCTCATTTTCTGAGAACTTTGCAATACTGTTATGACATTATTAATGAGTCTGAGTAATGCCATGGAACTCTCAAGGTGCTTGTGTATTCTTAGGAATAAAGCCCCACTTTTGAATCCTCTGGTTATGAAGCAGTTGCACATTATATTCTAAGAAATGTGGTTTGTTTGTGACTAGGCCCATGAGATGGTAACCAAAAGCTATTTCCCTGCATCCGAAGAAACTCTTCTGGCCCTGGCTGCCTTGAGACTGCAGTTTACAATCCGTGATTTCACCACACATGTGCCACTGCCTAAACTTCAGGAGTTATTTCCTGTGCATGTTCTCAAGGCACGGGTCCAGCAATCTGTGAAAGCTTTACTTTCCACAAATAATAAGGGTCTGAGTCACTTACTGCCAGGAGCCCTGGCAAGCAGCCTGTGGGGCAGCACAACCCAGAAACAGAAACTCGAGGAAGAACAACTATTGAAAGTACGGCTGAAAGAGGAGGCAGCAGCATTAATGGCCACAATCGTTGAACAATGGAAGCAGCTTCCAGGAATGACCCAACTGGAAGCTATGACAACATACCTCAGCATAGTGAGGGAATGGTCTGGATATGGAGCTACCCTGTTCGAAGTAGGGGCATTTATGGTAAGTGCATTGGATAATTTTACTTTTTGCATCTGAATTCTTGTGCAGTTTGTGTGGAGAAAAAATATTCCTTGCTGTACAGCATCTATCAGCTCCTGTACCATCCAGCCAGTCTGTGATCTGTTTTTGAAGCAGATCTCACTTTTTCTGGTAATTCTGTCCATTATTCTTTGTGACCTATTGTAGATAGCAGGAAACAAAACCTCAAATTTAGAATTTTTGACATATCACAATTCTGATATCAGTCAGTATTTTCTCTCCCAGTGATGAGAGGAACTGAAAGAATGAATATCAGGAGATTTTCAATCAGGAGCAGGAGATCAGTGCTTGCAGAGGGTTGGCTCTATTACTATCAGTTCCTGATCTCTCTCAAACTTTCCTCCATCCTCCATCCTCACGTATTGATCTTTCTAGTCCAATTAGATTATATGAGAACAAGTTCTGATGTTACTGTTTGACTTGGGTGAATTAGTCTGATCGGATGATCCAGTTTAAAGCCCCCGTTGTTAATCTAAACCCCTCATCACAACTGGCTCCAAGTAACTCCTGCTTTAAACTTATCCCCTCAGACTTAAAGGGAGTTTAACATTTCAGTCATCCATTGAAACAGTTCTCAGATTCAGTTGTATAAGCAAACAGATGTGGTTAATGGTTCAGAGCTATATAGATATAAATAATTTATGTTTACATACTATTTTATTCCCAAGCCATCTTTGAGACAAAACTTCTATTTCAAACTTAATTTTAATGCGTTTTACAGAGAATAGAAAGCTGCTGTGAGCTAAGTGGTGCCGTCATCCCATGAATGAATAGAGAAAAAAAATGTTTCTGTAACAGTAGAATGTTCATCAAAACACTTTTTTATTCATTAATGGGATGAGGGCATCGCTGGCTAGGCAGCACTTATTGCCCATCCCTAATTGCCCAGAGAGCAGTTCAGAGTCAACCACATTGCTGTAGGTCTGGAGTCACATGTAGGCCAGACCAGGTGAGGATGGCAGTTTCCTTCCCTAAAGGGCATTAGTGAACCAGATGGATTTTTCCGATAGTTGACAATGGATTCATGGTCGTCTTTAGATTCTTAATTCCAGATATTTTTATTGACTTCAAATTCCACCGTCTGCTGTGGTGGGATTCAAACCTGAATCCTCAGAACAGTTATCTGGGTCTCTAGATTAACAGTCCAGTAATAATACCACTAGGCCATCACCTCCCCATCTATATCTATATTTAATGTTTTTACACATTCAGGCTGAGGGTGTTATTAGTACACAATCTATGAAAAAAAATCAGAGTGGCCATAGTTGTAATTCACATCCCTGAAAGGATATTCTTAAAGTGTCCATCCTCCTCTCAAAATGTCAAAAATTAAGGTTCTTATTAATAACCATCTTTCCCATTCTATTGATTTCAATATATTTGCTCAAATTAGTGAAACTTTGGCAATATCAGTGCAGGAACTACAATTCTTATAATTACAGTGCACAAGCATAAAATGAGGCCATTTTGCCTAGAGGTCTGTGCAGGTTTCTTTATATGTATCTCATGTGGTGGTCCTCTTCACTCCCTGTACCCCCATACACTCTTCTACCCAGTCCGCTCTCCTGAATACTTCCCATACCCCCTCACGTCCCACCAAGTCTAATCCTACTGTCTCCTCTCACAATGTATAATGCCCATCCAGTCACTTCCTATACATTTCAATACTGTACAGTATTATAGTGGTCATGTTACTGAATTAGTAATCTAGAGGGCAGGATTAATTCTGCCGTTAAATCTGGGAATTTAAATTTACTTAATTAAATTGTAATCTTTAAACAAAACATTCTGGTCTCTGTAATGGAGATCACAAAACTATTAGACTGTCATCTGTGAACCAGATGAGTTTTACAACAATGGGGAAAGAAATCTGCCATCCTGATTGATATACTACACATCAATGTGATAACCTCCTAACTGCGTTTTACAAAGCCGATTGCACTCAAGATGTGGCTTGCCATGTTCCAACCAATAGACTTGGCCAATAAATGCTACTTGCTCACTGCCTGTAAATGAATAAAACCAAGTCAGTTGTTTACTCCCATTCCCCTGTCATTTTCTACCTTGTCTAATTCAATTCCCATACTTTTATTTTGTATCCTTTAATAGAATGCTCAGTCTAATTCCTCTCCAACTCACACTCCACACCCTTTAAAGATACCAACTTATTATAATTCCATTCTTCAATTCCCAAGTCTAAACCATTCTTATAAAAATAAGACTTGATTCAACCGAAGCCACAGTGAAACACCAATCACCACACCCTTTTCACCTCAACAGTTTGACTTCTGCCCTTTTCTCTCTCCATGTGACAACCATATGAAACACATTTAACGAATTATGTAAAACATGTTCTTTATCTACTTTCTTTGTCGCTGTTTCAAGAAACTGAGGTTAGTCATTTGGTCAAAGGAAACTGCCTTTTAGAAATCTATGCTAACTAGCCCAGATTAATTTATTTCTCCAGTTACTAAGTAATTTTGTCCTGTTTTGTTCACCATTATTGGTATACAAGAACTGAAGTCTAACTAGTAAATAACGTGGGGAAGCTGGATCATGTATTGCTGGCAGTGTTTATATAAAACCCAGTAATGCTGATTGGCTTAGTAACTGTTCCTAGTCATGACTTGTACGTGGTGATATTAATTCTACCAGTAACTCAGACAAGAAAATCCACCGGTGATATGGTCAGTCTGTTAAAATTTAAACACTAGAAAGATCTAAACAAAAAATCTACTTAGTGAGATAATCTTGACTTCCATCATGATAATGAAAATCACCTGAAGACATAGTAGCTTCTATTTTATAACCTCTTTCCAACGCAGCTAACCTAAACTTCATTTGCATACAATCTAATGTTTCCTCATCTCTGAATCTCCCAGAAGGTTCAAGCTTCTCTGGGATGCACTGGTCTGTGTCCCTGGACTGGAGAAGGAACAGCAACCAGTTTCTCCTGCTCAATGCTGTCAGGCTTGTCTGATACCCTCTATAGTTAAATAGCCTATTTCCTACCCTCTCACCCTCCTTAGCTATCAGCTGCTGAAACACTTATTCATGTTTCAGTTATCTCCCATTTAAACGATTCCAGTGTTTTTTCTGGCCAACTCTCAATTTGCAGTCTTTGTAAACTTGAGCTCATCCAAATTTCTGCTGGCCATGTCATAACTCAGACAAACTCCTATTCCTCTGCCACACCTGTGTCACTGTTCTCCGTTGGTTACTGGTTGAACAATATCCTCAGTTAAAATTTGTTTGAATTTCGCAATGGTCTTCACATTTCTAAGAACCAAGATCCTGTAATTTTAGACTGCTGAACGCTCACATTTCCTTCACCCTACCATTGATAACCTTGCCTTAGGTTGTCTAGATGTTGCACTCCCAGAATTTCCACCATAATTTTCTCCATCTCCTTCAGGACCTTCCTGAAAATCTGCCTTTTAAGTTGAGTTTGATCATCTACCTTCATGTATTCTTCTTTGGAGGTATGATATATTATCTGATTACTCTACTTTGAAGTGTACTGGAATGGTTAAAGTTGCTATATCACTGTAAAATGTTGTTAATGATGAATCACTGCATCATTTATAAAATCCAATCATAAAAATATGCCCAGAAAATGGAGGTAAAGGCAACTGTGAGTTCATTAAGTATAAGTGAAATTTATGCCTTGTGCAATATATTTAGTCTTAAAAGTGAATATTTATTCATACAAGCATTTGAACTAAAGTAGAACCAGGCCAAATGACTGTGTTTTAAGAGTAGATAAAGTCTGCCCTCTGAATGCGTTACAGAATTCGACAGTGAGTGTGGATCAGATGCTGTGGCTGGCAGTAGGAGCAAAGGGTCTTGCTCTCTACAAACAAGGAGATGTGGAGTCTATGGAGAGTTTTGATTATCAGCAGATTTTATCATTTGAAGTGACAGACAGGAACACCTTCAAAATTTCTCTGAGGAGAAAGGACTTGCTATTTGAGTCCTGCAAGGTATGGCATAGTATATTGTATTTCTGCACTTGCTGATCCACTCAATCACAAGCTCACATAGTCCCTGTTAAAACTCTTGCTGTCACTCTGGTAATTCCTCCACCTCAATCCTTATCTTCATTCCCATGAGCCATTTACAGTCAGAGGGGAAAGCAGCTAGAGTTTCTCATCCTGAAAGTCATGAGGGTCAGACTTGACTGATAGTCTGTCTCCACATCTGCCTTAGCCCATTTGCTGCTAAAACCGTCATTCGTGCTTTTGTTACTTCCAGACTAGCTGACTTCAATGTTCTTCTGGCTGACTCTTACCTTGCAGTTTCAGCAGACTTGAGCTCATCCATATTTCTGGGTAGACTGTATAAAGACCATTAGGTCCTGCTGTCATCTCTTTCAGCATCAAATCCAGCCCCCAGCTTCCTTTGTGTACAGCAGCTTGATAACAAACTATGACGATCACATGAACGAACACACACCTTGCCTCCTCCATCTTCCTATTCCATGTGATGTTCTATAAGCATGCGGGCCTCATGCATTTCTTCTTCACTAAGAGATGTCAGAACAATAATGGGATAGGAGGTGGCTGTTTGGCCCATTGAGTCCATGCCTGCTGACTGCAGAGCAATCTAGTCAGTCCCATTCCTCCAGTCTATCCCTGTAATCCTGAGTTTATTTCCTTCAGGTGTTGATTATGTTTGAAATAGTTATTCTCATTTTCACCACCATTGTGGGCAATGAATTCCAAGTTATTACCACTCACTCCCCTGCATTTCTCACTCGAAGCTGAAATTGGTGTTCCCTCATCCATTTGCTATATCAATGGTAACACTTGTCCTGCATCAACCTGTCATCATCATGTACACCTCGATCAAATCTCCTTTGCTCCAAGGTAAGCAGCTCCAATTTCTCCAACCTAACCTTCTACCTAAATCCATCATCCCTGGAATCATTCTGGTTAATCTCCTCTGCAATCTCTTGAGAACCTTTACACTTTTCCAAAAATGTGGTGATCAGACTTGGACACAATGCTCTGGTTGTGGCATAGCCAGAGCTTTACAAAAGGTTCGGTATTGCCTCCTTGCTTTGGTATTCAATATCTCTACTTATGAAGCCCAAGATCTGTCATAACCACGCAACCCAGGTCTCTCTAATCTTGCATTAAAGTTAGAATTGTGCCATTGAGTGTTTTGACTCTCCCTATTGCTTCTGTCAAAATGTCTCAGAATTAAATTCTATCTGCCACATGCCTATCCATTTTGCTGACCTGTTTCCTCACTGCAAAGTGGCACTGGTGTAGATTTAGAACAGTTTCTGTCAGTGAAGACTCAATGGGCTGAAGGGCTTTTCTGTCCTTATGATTCAAAATATTAAATTAGTTTACCATCTTTGTTCCCCATTTATAATGGATCTACATTTGTCTTCATTAATCTTTTCTCTTCTCTTCACCTATAGAAGCTTTTATAACATGTTTGTATGTTCCACACAAGCTTATTCTCATAATCTACCTTCCTCCCATTGAAATGTAAACTGTTCCTAATCCTCGGGTCTACAGGTTTTTTGGCCAATTTGTATGCTCCTTCCTTCAATGTAATACCGTCTCTAATTTCCCTCGATGGAGATGGTTGTGGTCAAGCCACCTTTCCCATTTGTTCTGAATTTTCCACAATCAATGCCCATGTGTCATAGCAACACCACTTAACTCCTGACTATTTTCATTGACTATAACCTGACTCAGCATTTTCCATGGACCCTTCATGTTGAGACGTGCTGCTAAAAGTGACATATAAAAATATCTTTAAAAAATGATTTAGAATAAAAGTCTCTAAAACATGTAAGCTAATACTTGAACAAACACAGGAATACAGAGGCGATTCTGGGTTGTATTCATGGGTTATATCTCACATTCAAAATACCAAACTGTGTATCAGATCCTTAAGCACATTTTGTATTACCAGGAAACTCCACCTTGAATTGACTGACACTTTCTACTCCTGTCTCCCTACTTAGTTCAATCCACATAATTACTGTACACAGAAAGATGATTAAATCTGAATTCCCCATTCACCTAACCTCTTCTAACCTTGATTTGTCTCTCTCTGTCTCTCACAGACAGTCCCCCCTGCCACTGTACTATGTACCATTAAACAATCTCTCTTACTGAGTTACATTATGCATTTTGATACACTACATATTTCCCTGAAACATGGCTGGCTGATGTGAAGAAATGGTTTCTGATTGCTTTTCTGATTTTTTTTAAACTCTTAGGTCCAAGAGATTGTTCAGTTGATTAAAATTTACAGCGCCAATCACTTCAAAACACAGGCTCGATCTGATCATCGAAGTAGACCAATCATAACAGGTAGCCTGGCCAACAGTCACCATTGTAACCTGTACAGCGATTCCAGCACAGAAGAAACATAGCAGAGCACAGTGGGAGAGATACTGGCGAAACATTTCACTTTCCTTATTACTACAGCATTATTAGGCCTTAGCACACCATACATGGATAGCAAGCCTCATCTTAACTTAGTCTTTCATTCTTGCCAATGACCTTTGTACAAGTTCTTGCAGCAAGAAGTTGGGCCCTCTTTGGGCTTTTTACACTGGTTGGTATAGCTTTACTTAAAAGACTTGACACTATAAACCACCTGAGTAACAGAAGTTTCTCAGTCAGAAGGTTGAGGTATCAGAATCAAAGGTCTTGGCATGTTGAACTATCCTGACGGCAGTAAGTGGAGTGAAGGAATTCTGTGGACTTCTCAGACAAAGGCCTTAAAAGTCTGGGGCTGCGAAAGAACAAAAAGTTTATGCTTTTGTATTAATTTATATAAAATTGTGAAGGATTCCAGTGAAATGTTCCCCTTGTACTTAATCCTCAAATTAACAAACTACATGGGATATCAACAAGAGTTGTATTTGCTGCAAGGACTCCCAATTCCAATTCCTCCTCATGATTAGAGTGGATGATAATTTAATTGCTTTGGCACTGATTATGTACCAGGTGATAGATAGCAAGAGAAAACCAAGCAGGGATTAGAATGCTTAAAATTCAGACAGTGTATATGATTAATCATGGATACCACATTGCGGTGAAATTGTAACTGTCAGATTTAATATTAATCTCCACCGAGAAATCATGAAACATTGAAAATTAATTGTCTTTCTGCTTTTAAAACACTACCCATCCCAACTTAAGAATCATAACTCCATGAACTTGCTGCTTTCCTTTCAAACAGGTTGCAACTCTATTATGTAAACCCAAAGAGCTCAAGGACTGCTGATAACAGAAGAAAACACAAACGTGTTGGAAATGCTCAGCAGTCAGACAGTATCACGAGAGGTCATTGACCTGAAATGTTAACTTTTTGTTTCTCTCTACAAATGGTGTTTGATCTACTGAGCATTTGTTGTTTTTGTCAAATTTCCAGCATTCATAGTATTCTGCTCTTCTGTCGCTAGGATATGAAGTAACCAGTCTGGAAACATTTGGTTACTGTGCAGTTCTGCTGCTCAACACAGACAGAGTTTAAGCAGTATACAGGAAACAGTGTACCAAATCCTCAAGAATCAGGAGGAAATTTATTGTATCAACTTTTATAATTCTGAAGCTGCAATGAAACAGCATCAACTAAAATTTATCAAACTCATTGTTTAAAGCTGCTGGCAGCTTTGGTTTTACACAGGGACTTCCATATTGAATCTTAAACTCACTATGCAATGAAAATGATTTTTTTTTTATTTAACTGTATATTGCATGTTCCCTCTTTACTGAAATGTACTGCACTATACTGTATAGATGAATTTGTGCAATATGTAAAAACTATCAGAATTAAAACAACTTATTTTAGTACTAGAAAATGGGCTGCATTAGATTTACTAGTTTATTTACCTGTATGCAGTTATAGTAAATCTCTAAGCTATACTCCAAAGTAGAAGACAATAGACATGTTAACTTAGTACATGCCGCAGGAAAATTGCAGAATCTGTCAGTTATAGCCCGATTGCGTTAAGATTTTCTACCCGGAGATAAAAGGTTAACGGATACAGGTGGAAACGAAGAATGGAAACTACATTACATGTGTGGTCTAAAGATGGACAAAAAATATTCAACTTGAGGGCAAGTGAGAATTATTGCCTTTGCCATCAAGGAGCCAGAGTAATAGGATGGGGCTCACAGGCTGGCTGGAGTCATACCTGGGGGAATGGTTGTAATTTGCTGGAGGTCAATCATTACAATCACACAGTGTTGCAGGGGTTCCTCAGTAACATTGTAAGACCAACTATCTTTAGCTGCTTTATCAGTGATCTTACCTCCATTATAATGTTAGAAGTGGGGCTGGTCATGGATTGCACAATATTCAGAACCCTTCTTGATTGTTCCGATATTGAAGAATGCAGCATGACCTAGACAACATTCAAGCTTGGGACATATTTGAAATAACATTTATGCCACATAAATGCCAGGCAATGACCATTTGCAGCAAGTGAGATTCCAACCATCATCCTGTAAATTCAGTGGCAATACCATCACTGGTGGCCCTACATTAACCAGAAATTGAACTGAAATCAGCCATATAAATACTATGGGTACAAGACATGGTTGGAGGGTGGAAATTGTGTGGCAAATAAATCATTTCCTGACTCCCCAAAGCATGTGCACTATCTACAAGGCACAAGTTAGGTCTGTCATGAAATACTCCCCACTTTCTTGAAGGAGTGTAGCTACAGCAAATATTAAGCTTTACACCAACCAAGTAACTTGTTTGACTGAAATTTCAACCATCATCTAAATTCATACCCTGCAATATGGATGCAGTGGCAGTAATACTGTCAGTGGGTTGCGGGGGGTGGTTGGCTTATTAAGAATGGTTAACACTGGGAAGTTGATGGTTATGAGGACCTGACTTAAAGTGTGTTGAAGTCTGGAGCAGATTAGCTGTGATCTTGTAGAACAGTGAGGCTGAATGGCCTGCTTCTATTTCATACTTACAAGCAGCGACCCACCAAACCTATATTTAAAAGGGCAGTAAATAAATGGGTGCATTGCCACTTGCAAGTTCCCCTCCAAACCACAAATATCCTTCATTGATCCTTGAATGTAGCTGCCAAAATCCTAGAATTCCTTCCCTAACAGGACCACGAATATACTTGCATAACATAGACTGCAGTGGCTCAAGAAGCTCATACTGAAACAGAAATAGGAGAAGGCCATTCAATGTGATATTAGTTGATCATCCAACTCTGTACTCTGTTCCTATTTTCTCCCCATAACTTTTGGTTCCTTTGACCCTAAGAACTACGTCTAACTCGTTCTTGAAAACAATAAATATTTTGGTTTCAACTGCTTTTTGTGGTAAAGAATTCCACATACATACCACTCTGGGTGAAGAAATTTCTCACCCTCACCCTTGTAAGGGCAGTTAGGCATAGGCAATAAATGCTGGTGTTAGCCAGCAGTGCCCACGACACACAAATGATTAGGGATACCGGTCAAGTGAACTGCTTTCTTCTGGATGGTGTCAAGCTTCTGGAATATTGTTAGAGATGCATTCATGCAGGCAAATGGAGATATTCCATTACAGTCCTGATTAATGCACTGTAGATTGTGGACAGGCTGTGGGGAGCTAGGTGGTGAGTTACCTGGTGTTGAATTCACAGCTTTCAACCTTCCTTGTAGCCACAGCGTTAATATACCAGGTCCATTTCAACTTCTGGTCAATGCATTATGGGCTCAGCCAGTATTTATTATTCATCCCTCAACCCTTGGGATGCTGCAGTCCATGATGATAAGTTCACATACACAAATTGATCCTTCATATTTGATTGCAAGAGGTTGTCAGAATTATGTAGTGGACAGTTACAAAATTTCAAGAAATTCATATTTGCTTTGTCCTGGATTTAATATTTGAAGGGCTGCTGAACCACACTGCTTAAATTGATGTAGTTCCTAAAAGCTCAAAAGGTGTTTTAACTCCCACATCCCAAGAACAAATAGAAGGTATCAGATTGTTTACTGTTATGTAACAAACATCAAACACTTACCTAAATAAATCAATGAAGCATTCAGGGATATTTTTGAAATGCAAATCACTCAAACTAATAAAATCTATATGATCAAAAACAGAAGTTGCTGGAAAAGCTCAGCAGGTCTGGCATCATCTGTGAAAAAACAATCCGAGTTAACGTATCGCATTCGGTGACCCTTCCTCAGAATTGGTTGAAAGCTATGAATTCGACACCAGATAACTCACCACCTAGCTCCTCACAGCCTGTCCACAATCTGCAATGCATTTATCAGGACTGTAATAGGATAATGTAATGGAATATCTCCATCTGCCTGCATGAATGAATCTCTAACAATATTAAAGAATATTGTTTTTGTTCCTGATTTACTGCATCTGCAGTTCTTTCACTTTTTATAAAATCCATGATTGTGGATATGTAGAAAATGTTTATTAGAATGCATCACATTGAGTTGCTTAATAATACACTACTCCATTATGTACAGACTTCTCCTAAGAGATTCCCACACACTCAATAAGCAAAGCTTAGCATAACTGAAACAGATTCGAACATTTTTAACAGCATCTTTGCTGAAGGGATCACTCATACAGATAAGATTTTGTGACTTCGTGGAGACTAAAGAAACCACAAGTAAAATCAAAACGCATGCCAATTAACACTTATACAGTTGAGTTTAAGATCTAGGTTTCTGTAACCTTTTGATAAACCAATGGTTGCTTCAATAAATGAGCAGTATGCTTTACTGATGTCTCACTGCTCAAGTGTATCAACAACCCTGGTGACCCCCAGGGCAAGTGTTCAAACATTTGGGCCAAGCTGACTGTACCTGCATTTCTCCATCGATGGGAAGCAAATATGACCAGTTCATCTTGTCTCAAATGTTCTGAAGGGAGCTGAGACCAGGTACATAATGCACTTGGCAAACAAACATTATACTTCACAATTTAAGTAAGTCAATATATTCAGTAGTATGAACTGTATATCCAGTAAATCAGTGGGAAAGTGAGATCAATAATAGTCTCAACTGACACTGCTTGAAATGCACAGTCACGCCAAAATTTATTAAAAGAAAGTTGCAAACTTTTGTCATATGTTTTTTTTTAAAAAAAGCTTATGATGAAATAGGGCAGATTTTCTTAACAGAAGCATCTATGCAGGTCTTTTCAGAGTGATATATACACAAAGCTGACTCCACATTTATGCAATATGTTGCTCTCACCAATGCTGCAATCAAACCTGCAGAGAAGTGTGCAACAGTGAATTACTAAACTAACTGAGATTCAGTTACACAGGTACAGCTATCCAAATAATGTCAAAATTACCAAGTTTCACACAATTTTTCTTTCAACGTGTCTGGTGATAGTATGGGACATCTGTGTTACACACATGAGACCAGTGCTGGCCTGATCGAGGGCATGTTGTACATTTGCCTTGTTTGGTGATATTCAATTCTTCACACAAAGGAAATCTGAACACAAATAGCAGACAGAGATACATATAGATGTTATTTATCAAATCAGAATAACTCTGTAATGTTGCCTATTAAAGTTATATTTTACTGCTCCTGGGTGCCCCAGGAGATATAGTCTGGACGGGTAGCAGCATGATACTCATCAATCAATTGCTGCACAATCTCTCGAGAAGTATCCAGCTCATCAAAGTTTTCCTTAAACATGTCCTCTTTGCGAAACTGTTCCAAGAAAGCTTCTCGCTTTCTAAGCTTGTCATACTGTCTGCTGGTTCTCTCAAACAGCTGTGGAACGAAAGGGATGAAAGTTATACATTTAAAGAGTTTTACATTTAAAACTGTTAGCACTACAAAATTCAATATGGATTACTACCTTTATTATTTCATGAGACCTCTCAGTTCTAATGCTGAAAGCCCTTTTCCAAATTTCTCAAGTTTACATCTGTATGACTAATTGGAGCTGAATAACAGAATATTGTTCTTCTAAGTTCTAAAAAGAATTCTGACAATGGTATTATTAACAAAACGTTATTTGGTTGGAAGCACACTTCCCACTCATTTACCGTGTCTCTTCTAAAGCAGGCACTTGCAGATCAAAAAGGAACAATATAACATTTATTGCCCCATCCTTGGTTGCGTAGTGGATGTTTGTACATTACACTTTACTCTAGGTCATTTATTTTTCCCTCCATTCTTTGCACATTGTCAGCACAAGCACAACACCAACCAACAGGAATCAAGCCCAATGAATACTACTGTGCCTATGTTCATTTGTCTTAAATTGTGACATTAATGAAAACAGTTGGTACAGTATTGGTACTTACTGAGGAGATGCTGGTGTGGTTAGCCATCATGAGACCACTTACACGATGGGCTGAAGGCAAGTAAGGAGATTTGCGTGATAGCGCCACCTGTATACTGGCTGGGCCCCATGGAATGAAGTTGGCCAACTTCCGCTCCCTTATTCTTTGTAGACTCTTGTGTACCTATTTAAAGAACATAACATAAAATAGGAATCTTACACTTACACTGTACCTATCACAGTCTGTAACATAAAGTGGATATGCTGTAATCAAACGTGTCAGAAACTAACACCACATTGAAAAGTGAATGACCATTCCAATGGTAAATATTTTATTGTTATTAGTTAAGTGGATTGTTTATGTAAATTTGAAATATAAATCCGACAGATTGGTGCTGTCTCTCTTCTAGGGTAGTACACTCCTTGGTATTACCCATCTCCCCTAGGGTGGAACGGCCCCTGCAAAACCCAAGTACGGCAGTTTTGTTAAATCACAGCATACGCTCAAGTTCTAGAGTCACATAACTTTATGACTGAGAAAAGAGTTGCTGTCTTGATAAACCACATTAACAGTGTCTTCCCCAGTAGAAACCAGCAGGCTGACCAGAAAACAGGATTAAATTGCAAGCATTTCTAGTGTTTATGGCTAGTATAGGTGGAAAAATTACTGTGGAGTTATTATACAAGTCAACACAATTTTCCATGTACCATAGAATGGAATAATTATCAAACCTGCTGTAAAAAAAAAACCTAGGTAACCACGTATAACAGGCGTCTGCATTTCAAGTCTGATACACATCTATGTAAAGAATACTGGATGATAACTTTTGGCTGGCAATTTGAATTTCTCCCATTTCACAAAGTGGTTAATCTTACTCCAGCAGGCATCGGCCAATAAAAACCGAAAGAACTGCAGATATTGTAAACCAGGAACAAAAACAGAAGTTGCTGCAAAAGCTCAGCAGGTCTGGCAGAATCTGTGAAGAAAAGAATCAGAGTTAACATTTCGGGTCTGGTGACCCTTCCCACAGAACTCACATTCACATTCTGAGAAATGGTCACCAGACCCGAAACGTTAACTCTGATTTCTTTCTTTACAGGTGCGGCCAGACCTGCTGAGCTTTTCCAGCAACTTCTGTTTTTGCGGCATTGGCCAATGGTGGCTGAGCCTGCAACTTCTCTGTCATGACGCGGATTTTCTTCTCTCCGATACTGAAGGTTTTGAGTCTTGCTGGAGCTTGGGTTGTTGGATACAAATTAAGTTCAAGTGTCTTAACCAAGTGGCTGTTCTCCACTAAAACTTAAAATGCAAGTTATTCAACCATGCAAAAGATTAAGCAGCAAGTATGATTCTGACCTCGCCTAGTATTTATATGTACAAATGTCCAGAGTGACTGGAAAATAACCTGAACCATAACTGATTTTCCATTCTCTAGCTCAGTGTGCCCAAATTGCCCCTAGGAACAGTGCAGTACTGAGGGAATGCAATAATTCCAGATATTGTCTTTTAGATCTGATATTAAACTGAACACCCATTGCCTATGCAAACAAAGGTAAGACATTCTGCAGCATTTCCTGAGAAGCAGGAAAGTTTCCCAAAGTCCACACCTACACTCCACACTCAACTATTGTTCGCAAAAACTGGTTATTTGACCACTCACTGATGTTCACTATTTGGGACATTATGTGCAAGCAAGTGTTGCAATAGTAGCTGTTCTCAAGAAGTTACTCATTGATTGTAAAGCTAGATGGGCCAATATGATAGCCACATGCAGCCATTTGGGAACCCAGATATAATTTTTTTTAAAATTAGTAATTAGTAAATTTTTAATTAATAAATAAAAGAGTAATAGATACTATCTATGGGCATTGACCTCAATGTTAATTTATTATAATGTGGGCTTTTACTCGTATGAACGAGAAACATGAGTAGGCTACTTGACCTTTTGAGTTTGCTGCATCATTCAATAAGATTTTAACCTCATCTCTACGTTCCAACATATCCCCTATAATCTTTCATCCCCTTAGGAACCAAGGATCTATCTACCTCAGCCTTAAAAATATTGAAATATTCTCAAATAGTGCCTTTTAAAGAAGAGCTAAGATTAAAAGTATCAACTTCTTTAATTACAGCGTGGAAACAAACCCTTCAGTCCAACCAGTCCATGCTGACCATAATCCCAAACTAAATTAATCTCATCTACTTCCGCTTGGCCCTTATCCCTCCAAACATTTCTTATTCATGTACTTATCTAAATGTCTTTTAAACATTGCAACTGTATCTGCATCCATCACTTCCTGTAAAAGTTTCTTCCACACATGAAACTCTACATAAAAAAAAGTCCCTCATGCATTTTTTAAAATCTCTCTCCTCTCACCTTAAAAGCATGCCCCCTAGTCTTGAAATCCTCCACCATAGGGAAAAGATACCTGCCATTCGCCCTATCAATACCTCTCATGATTTTATAAACCCTATAAGGTCACCCCTCAACCTCCTACATTGCAGTGAAAAAAGTCTCAGCCTATCCAGCATCTTTTTATAACTCAAACCTCTATTCCTGGCAACATCCTGGTAAATCCCTTCTGTACCCTCTTCAGCTTAATAATATCCTTCCTATAGCAGGGTGACCAGAACTGGACACAGTACTCCAGAAGAGGCCTCACCAACATCTTGTACAACCTCAACATAACATCCCAACTCCTATACTTAAAAGATCTGAGCAATGAAGGTAAGCGTGCTAAATGTCTTCTTAACTACCCTATCTATATATGATGAAAACTTCAAAGAATTATGTACCTGAACCCCTAGGTCTCTCTGTTCTAGAACACTACTCAAGGCCCGACTTGTAATTGTACACATCCTGCCCTTCTTCGTTTTACCAAAATGCAATACCTCGTATTTATCCAAATTAAACTCCTTCTGCTGATCTTCAGCCTACTGACTCAACCAATCAAGATCTCTTTGTAATCCTAGATAACCTTCTCCACTGTCCACTATAACATCAATTTTGGTGTCATCGCAAACTCACTAATCATGCCTTCTACATGCTCATCTAAATCATTTTTATAAGTGACCCCATGGAACACTGTTGGTCACGGGCCTCCAGTCCAAAAAACAACTCTTCACCATTGCTCCGTCTCCTGCCTTTAAGCTAATTTTTAATCCAATTGGCAAACTCACCCTGAATCCCATAAGATATAACTTTATTAAGTAGTCTACCATGTGCATGTGGGGAGGCAATGGCCTAGTGGTATTATCGCTGGACTGTTAATCCAGAGACCCAGGCAATGGGTTCAAATCCCACCATGGCAGATGGTGAAATTTGAATTCAATAAATATCTGAATTAAGAGTCTAATGATGAACATGAATCCATTGCCAATTGTCGGGGAAAAACCCATCTGGTTCACTAATGTCCTAACCTGGTCTGGCCTACATGTGATTCTAGATACACAACAATGTGATTGACTCATAACTGCCCTCTGGGCAATTAGGGATGGGCAATAAATGCTGGCTCAGCCAGTGACGCCCACATCCCCTGAATGAATAAAGGAAATAAAAAAAGTTCAAGTAAACAACGTCTACCGCTCTGTACTTGTCAATCATTTTGGTTACTTAATTAAAAAGCTCAATCAAATTTGCGAGACATGATATCTCTTGCACAAAACCATGCGGACTATCCGTAATCATTCCTTGCCTCTCCAAATGCACATAAGTCCTATCTTTCAGAATCATTTCCAGCGCCGAAGTCAAACTCACAGGTCTATAGTTCACAGGCTTCTCTTCACATCCCTTCTCAAACAAAGGCACAATATTAGCCACTCTTCAGTCATCTTGTATCTCACCCGTAGTTATAGATGACACAAATATTTCTGAAAGAGGCCCTGTAATTTCTTCCCTAACTTCCTACATGTCCTAGGATACACTAGATCAGGTTCTGGAGATTTATCCACCTTCATATTTTCTAAGATCTCCAGCACTTCTTCTGTAATGTAAACTGTTTCCAAAACAACAATAGTTATTTCCCTGAGTTTTCTAGCTGCCATTTCTTTCTCCACAGTGAAAACTCTCACAAAATATTCATTTACTATCTCTCTCGTCTCCTGAGGTTCAACACAACGACAACATCTTTGATCTTTAAGGGGCCCTACTCGCTCTCTAGTTGCTCTCTTGCTCTTAATGTACTTGTAGATTATCTTTGGATTACGCTTAACCTAAGTTGCCAATGCTATCTCATATCCTCTCTTTGCCTTCCCGATCTCCCTCTTAAGAACGCCCCTACACTCTTTGAGAGATAGTAGGCAACTGCTGATATTGGAGTCTGGGATAACAAGGTGTGGAGCTGGATGAACATAGCAGGCCAGGCAGCTGGACCCTTCAGAAGGGTCCAGACCCGAAACATCAGCTTTCCTGCTTCTCTGATGCTGCCTGGCCTACTGTGTTCATCCAGCTCCACACCTTGTTACCCCTATACTCTTTATTCTGTTCAAGAGATTCATTTGAACCCTGTTTTCTATATCTAATATATGATTATTTTTTATTCTTAACTACAACCTCAATATCTTTATTCATCCATTGTTCTCTAATCCTACCAGCCTTACCTTCCACTCTAACAGAATCATAATGTCTCTGAACTCTCGTTATGACAGTTTTGAAAGCCTCCCATTTATTAGACTTCCCATTGTCTGCAAACAGTCTACTCCAATCAATTTTTGAAAGTTCTTGTCTCATACCATTAAAATTTGCCTACTCCAATTATAAAATTTAATTTTTATGGAAGGCTTATCCCTTTCCATAACTATTTTAAAACAGAATAATGATCATTAGACCCAAAGTGTTCCCCTATCACTTCAGTCGCTTGCCCTGTCTTATTACCCAAGAGAAGGTCAAGTTTTGCTCATTCTGTAGTAGGGATATTTACATATTGATAAAGAAATTTTTCTTGAACACATTTTTAACAAATTCTTCACCATCTAAACCTTTAGCACTATGGTAGTCCCAGTGAATGTTTGGAAAATTAAAGTCACCTACTATTACAACCATATTATTCTTACACATGGTTGGGGATTTCTCTACATATCTGTTCCTCAATTTTCCTTTGACTATTGGTGGGTCTATAGTACAATCCCATCAAGGTGATTTTTTATTTCTAATATCAACCAATGTATTTTCACTGGATAATTTTTCAGAAATATCTTCTCTAGACAGAGCAATCATGTTTTCCTTAATCAAAAAATTGTTGTATACTTGATTGCTTACTGGTCATTGATTGTTAAAATTGTTCAGAATATAACTGTAAGTACCAGATTTCAGCGCTGTGAAACACTAGCTACATGGTAGTTAGATATGAGCAGTCACTGTGCAACCTCCACGAGTCAGAACAATTTAGGCCAGCAGAAAAATGCAAGTCATTAAATTGGTCAATGCTAGATCAAAACCCTAGAACATTCCAAAGAGCACTTTGGGTGCACCTACACCAAATGGACTGCAGCAGTTCAAGGTGGCAGCTTATTACTATTCTCAAGAGCAACAGGGATGAGCAATAAACGCTGGTCCAGCCAGAGACACTCACATCCCATGAATGAGTTTTTAAAAAAAAAACACCAATCAGCTCCAACAGGACAAGGTCATCGGCAAAAAGCACAGGGCGAGCAGCATCTAACTGCATTCTGGATTTTTGATGGGGGAGGCACTGGCAGATGAAAAGCTTAGGGGTGAGAACATTGAAAGTGGGGTATGGGTCAGGCGACGGAAGAGCGGGAAGTGGGTGTGTTGTGTTCCTGTGGTTTACATTCAGAACAATTACTGAGAAAGTCAAAGCCCCATTTGGAACAAGTACAAAAAAAACTGGAAGCTGCATTACGATGCTTGGAACCTAATAACGTAGAGGAGATTTCCAAACGTTTGTAAAAACAAATGACAATAGGTACTTGATAAATAAAAGAATTGGAAGGTGACCAATATCCTGGCGAGGATTACCCAACCTTTTACTCTGTTCAATTCTGCCATGTGGTGATATGGTATAAGAACCATAAGATGTTGGAGCAGAAGCCCATTCAGTTTGCTCCGCCATTCAGTGAGTTCATGGCTGATAATGATAATGCTCAATGCCAATTTCCTGCCTTTTTCCCAAAAACTCTTGATTGCCTTACTGATTAAAAATCTGTTTGTAAAAACAAATGACAATAGGTACTTGATAAATAAAGTGCATTTAAGTGCATAAAAACAAAGTGCATTTACCTCTCTTCTTGCCTGTGGAATCTGCATTCTATGCTGGCCTCATTTGTATCTAGCCAACTATTTCCATTGGACAACTCTGTTATGAAGCATTGTGGGACTTTCTCAAGTTGAGGTAAAGTGCTATATATGCAATTTTAAAAATATAAACTTTTAGCAAAATGCTATAGTCGTACCTGAGTAGGGTCCACCTCTCCCTGAATAATATTTAGAATTGCAATATAACAATGGTTAGTTTGTCTGTCCCTGCCAGTAGACACCATCACGTTCTTTGGCTGCAACAACCTTCGCATGACATCCAGAACTGTAGTTTTCCGCACACTTGGGACCTAAGAACAAAACACACATCAAGCTTTAAGCATGGAGTTGCCCATTTCCATTTCTTACATTTGAAAAGAAGGATTTCAAATGGATTTTAGCAGAATGATGTGCCCTTCCTGTGGAAATAGGAGATTAGGGAGAATTTCAACGTACATGGATACTATGTCTACAGGAACTGTATCTATCAGATAGCACGGATCAGTTGGAGTGGCAGTTAATGGCAATGCGAAACTTACAAGAGCAAGGAAGTGTGATGGATGGCAGTTTCAGGAAGGTACAAAAACCACAGATAAGTCAGGCAGAGATAGTAGGAACTGCCGATGCTGGACAATCTGAGATAACAAGGTGTAGAGCTGGATGAACACAGCAGGCCAAGCAGCATCAGAGGAGCAGGAAAGCTGACGTTTCGGGTCTGGACCCTTCTTCTGGAAAAAAACAAAGAAGGGTCCAACCCGAAATGTCAGCTTTCCTGCTGTGTTCATCCAGCTCTACACCTTGTTATCTCAGATAAGTCAGGCAGATGGGTTACTGCTAGGAAAGGTAGGAGAGGTAGGCAGGTTGTGCAGGAATCTCCTGTGGCTATCCCTATCTCAAACAAGTATGCTGTTTCGGATAATGTCAGGGGTCATGGCCTCTCAGGGGAATATAGCACTGATGACCAGGTTTCTGGTACTGAGACTAGCTCTACTGTAATGAGGGGTATGTCAGCTTCCAAACAATCAACTGTGATAGCAGGCTCTCTAGTCAGGGGCACAGACGATTCTACCACCGACAGTGAGACATCAGAATGATGTGTTGCCTCCTTGGTGCCAGAGTCATTGATGCCTTGGAGAGGGTGCAGAATATTCCCAAAAAGGGAGAGTGACCAGCAGAAAGTTGTTGCACACGTTGGTAATAATAACATAGGAAGAGAAAGGGATGAGGCTCTGCAGAGAGAATATAAGAACTTAGGCTGGAGTTTAAAAAGTAGGTCCTCAAGGATAGTATAGAACATAGAACATTACAGCGCAGTACAGGCCCTTCGGCCCTCAATGTTGCGCCGACCTGTGAAACCAATCTGAAGCTCATCTAACCTAAACTATTCCATTATCATCCATATGTTTATCCAATGA